ATTTATATATATATTTATATATACATATATATAATTTTATCTACATTGACTTTTAATCCCGTAGTAAAATATATATTTTATATCTACGAGCCGGCCGGTTTTTTTTTTATTCGTCATCGTTTTATGGAATTGAACGTGTCACTTAAATAAGAAAAACAAATATAAGTGTAAAAAAAAAACAAGGGTGTGATAGATAAGAAATATAAAATTTAAATAAATAGCGATATTTACCGTGAAATAATTTATAAATAATTAACGTTAACAAAAAAGTCGACGGCTCGTAAAAGTAATAAATCTATCTATATATCTATCTATCTATCTATCTATCTATCTTTCTATCTATCTATCTATCTATCTATCTGTCTATCTTACTATCTATCTGTCTATCTATCTATCTATTCTATTCTATTCTATTCTATTCTATTCTATCCATCTGTCTATATCTCTATTTCTCTCTTTTTGATACTAAATATAATAATAATGTTAGATAACAATTAAACGAGAGAAAAGTAAACATTCATATTAGTTGCATATGAACTATATCGGTCATTTTCATTTTTCAAAATGAAAAATAAAATCAACGTTTCTTCCAAGCTTGTCAAAATGTTACGTTATATGTAAAAAAGTTTCTAAGCGTATCTATTTTATATTTAAATTATTATTGTAAAGTTTCGAGTGATAAATCGAGTTACGTTAAATGAGAAAATATCATTTATTATGAAATGAACGTTGTGACAAGCTTGTTTTTCTTAACCCACTACTACTATCTTTCTCAAAGCTATTAGATTAATTAGTATTAGGTATTTATAGATTGCCACTGTACATCGATCTCGGGGCCCTCCTATGTGGTTAACCGTCACATCGACGTGCTAATCCACGTATTGATGGTCCCGAATATTTCAAAATACGAATTGTCGTTCGCCCTTAATCGATACCACGACGTTATTATTAAGAATCGATTCATCGATCGTCTCCTTCAATTTCTATGGTTCTTTATTTCTTTACTCGTTCATTGACGCTAATAAAGGAATCGAATGATTTCAATCAACGAATACAAAAATCATGAATAATTTCACTTTACGTGATAATTGAAAACAAACGAAACATTCTTATGGAATATTCATTATTTCCAAATTTTATTTATAGCTCGTAATAACTATGCCGAGAAGAAAATAGTGAAAATAAATAAATCGTAATGGATCGTTGATCGTTTATCCCGTATGTGTATATACGTGTTCGATTAATCTTCGTTAAAACATGCAATGTATCACAAAATTAGATATTTGTCATCGACTATGTCCAACCGGGATATTGATTTTAATCCAATTAAACATTCGCCGGTTTTCCGATTCGTACTATTTTCAGAGTAAACGATCCCGTTCGTTCAAAAATGTTGCCAACAATCCATTCCTTGTTTCTCAATGTAACGCTAATATCATATATCTCCGATGGAAATTCATATCTACGTGAACGAAAAAACTAAAAATACTAAATTCAGAATAAACATTTTATACAAATTAATTACTCGCACACAATCTCAAGTCTTATTACATTTTTTTTTTAAATTAACTAAAAAGTTAATCAGATTTTGATTGAAGGGGGATCCAAAAAAAAAGTGTGAAAATGAATTAGGTAATATAAAAGTATAAGAATTTTTGAAAAATTTGACGAGTTCGTCACCTTTCCTTCTTTACCCCTCTCTAACGCCCTCCCACCCGGAGGGTAAAAAAACGCTTAGGCAAATACTTGAACGCGTGAAACGGAAGAAGATATGCTTACGGCAAGAACGTAAAACGAATCACGAGTGTATTCCGCTCGGAGATACTTTTAGTCGATGGTAGTGAATTTAAGCCAGGGGTAATCCCCCGAGGATACGAGACAGAACAGGATTGGCGTGCGGCTCGTAAAATCTGTTCCGTCCAGGACCATTACCTCTCGGCATCCTTCGAAATTGTCCCTACGTCGGCGCAATTGGCCGGAAATAACGCTCTTACAACGTTTACCGACTTACGTGATTTTACAACGATCCACACGATATTTTCACATTTTCCTATTTTCATTTTTCGCCAATCTACAATACTCGCAACATTTGAAATAATTTTCACAAAAAATGAGACAGAGGTATATCGTTGTTTTTAAAACATTTTTTTGTAAAAGGAAATATAATATAATTCTCGATTCGTTTGTTACGGTAATAATTGATAGCGTTGATGATGTGACAATTGATATTTGTAAAAAAACAAACAAATTTTATCGAAAGTTTAAATGGACGATCGAATCTAATACAATGTTCTATAATAATAATAATAATAATAATTGATTGTATAATAACATATAGAGATATTAAAAATTTCGATCGATTCTTGATAGTTGGTTTGATATCATAGAGCGGTTTCGATTGGTGGCGAACGGTGCTCGTAATTATGTGGATAATTAATTGAATCGCGACGTCAGGCTACCCCGTTACTGCGTACCACCGCAGGACCGGGCCCGGTGCCCGCTCCCTCGCCTCTTTCGTCAAACGAACGAGAACAGCCGTTTGTCCTTTTCGTTTTGCCACACGTTTTCACCAACCGAACCCTCCCACGATTAGACAAACGCAATCCCTTTGGAAGGGAAAAAGGAATGACCTCGAAAAAACTCCGAGCATGAGTCCTCGTGAGGTCTAATTAATGGAATGTTTATTTATTTATTAAAATCTAACTTTATCACGCAAATATTTGTCTTGACGATGATTTTTCATTACGTAAAATCGATGATGATGATTATTTTAAGATTGTTAATAAATAAAAGGAAAAGAGAATAAAATAAGCTTCGAGCTTTATTTTTGTTTAGTTTCAAGAGAGAAAATTTGTTTTTTTAATCAAACAGAAAAAGAAAAGAATATTATCACGTTTAAATGTTAAAATATTACGTTTGCTTTTAAACGCGGATGAAAGAAAATAAATGCGCAGAGTTTTAATATCGAATGAAAGATCGTTGGGTGATATTTATGCTTGCTAATATTATAGTTACGTGTAATACGAATTTTCGAATACGTTGAAATTCTTTTTTCTTTATATTATCACAGTAAAGGGAGAGTTTTGGATCACGTCACATCTATTACGTAAAAACTCTGTCTAAACGGTATGAGAACCGTTAAAAGTATCATTAGCTTGGCTCGCCTTTAAAGAGGAAGGATAATTAGCGGTTTATTCCACTATCTTTCTCTTACTTTTTTCACTCTTATATAATCGACGATCCGTTTAACTTATCTATCTTCTTCCGGCGAACGAGCTTAATGATATCTTCTAGCTTTTTTTTTCTTCTCTCTCTCTCTCTCTATATATATATATATATATATATATAAAACGAATATATAGTCACGGATATTTTTCGCAAACTTTTTTTTTTCGATCTCTCGCATTTTCTTTCTCTCATTCAC